GTCACAGCACGATAGACCCGATCCACTCGGAAGCATCGTAAGAGGAGCAGCTTCTGGAAGTTGGTGAGGGTGCTGTTGTAGTGCAGGGGGAACGGAGTTTGTTCCAGAGCGTCGATGTCATACCACTGAGAAGGAAGGAAGGAAGGAAGGAAGGAAAGGAAGGAAGGAAGGAAGGAAGGAAGGAAGGAAGGAAAGGAAAGGAAAGGAAAGGAAAGGAAAGGAAAGGAAAGGAAAGAAGGAAAGGAAAGGAAAGGAAAGGAAAGGAAGGAAAGGAAGGAAAGGAAGGAAGGAAGGAAAATCAAAGCAGCATTCAAAAGGTATTCCATGTTGCCTCCTACAGGCAGACAAATGACAACGTTCATATGCTATATGGGGTCTTTGGTATTTTCTGAACTTGGTTGCTTTCTTGCAGATGTTTCATGACCCAACTAGATAACATCATCAATGCTAGAAGAGTGTAGGGTTTGTAGGGAGGAGGAGGAGGAGGAGGAGGAGGAGGAGGAGGAGGAGGAGGAGGAGGAGGAGGAGGAGGACGACGACGACGACTGTGGGGTCCTTGGTGCTCTCTGATCTTGGTTGTTTTCTTGTAGACGTTTCATGACCCAGCTAGGTAATATCATCAGTGCTAGAAGGGAGGGGGGTTTGCTCTGTTTATATACAAGTGGCTGTAACGCCAGACCAACAATCAAGCAGTAAACAATACCCCAATAAAATGCTGCCCACTCAGACAAACAATCAAACATTAAACAATAGCCTAATCAAGGAACCACCAAGAACATTCCCACCAATCCTGACAGAGCAAACGATAGAAACAGGGAGAAACCCCCACCCACCCCTTGTAGTACTGATGACATTACTTAGTTGGGTCATGGGACGTCTGCAAGAAAATCACCACGCTCAGAGAGCACTAAAGACCCCACAATCCTCTTCCTCCTCCATTCCAACCCCCCTCCCTTGTAGCACTGATGACGTTACCTAGTTGGGTCATGAGACGTCTGCAAGAAAACCACCCAGCTCAGGGAGGATCCCGCAGTTCAATCCTGAGCTACAAATATTGGTTCATGCACTCTATTAAGCCAACACCAAACATGAAGGTTTAAGGCAGCTCAATGTGGCCCAGTCAACACGCAAAGTTATACTCACTACTTCTCAGTGTAATGTGTCAACCAAATCATTACCAGTGTCTCGATGTTTTATACCCACCCTACTTTCCAAAGGCCGTTACGTTTGTCCCTGTGATTCAGCACTACCTCCTTGGGAAGCCCACATCCCCTGGTTCAGACTAAGAACATTCAAAGAGATAAGGAGGAAGGTGCTCACAGCTTTCCAATCACTCAGCTTTTCTTCTAGGTCGTCTGTAAGACCGCCAAATTTTTCTGGGAAGAGTTCAGCGAGGCGGATGATGTCCTCCCAGCCTTGGTCCGCAAGCCAGAGACACGGCTTCTTCCGGGCGCTCTTCTCCAAGGAAAGGTTGCCTAGGAACAAGAGAAGGCATCCGGACTGGACCATTTCGCGTGCAGAAATGAATATGCTGCTGCGCCCCAAACCATTAATTTGTAAGCGTAGCCCGGACAGTTCCTTGAATTAAAAGAGAAATGAAGAATTGATCCGATGGCTCAGGAAATCTCAAGATGGTTTTGGGCCACTCGATTTATTGGAATTCCTTCAACTGGTGAAGATTTGGTTCTGAAAGTAGGTTAACGATGGAAACCTTACAAACAACCACAGAAAGAACTCGCTCAAGCTGCCATCTGGAGGTTTTTAAGAAGAGACTTGACAACCATTTCTCCGGGATGGTATAGGGTCTCCTTCTAAGCAGGGGGTTGGACTAGAAGATCTCCAAGGTCCCTTCCAACTCTGCTATTCTGTTTTTTGTTTTTTTTAAAGGAATATTTTAAGGATTCGTGTTTTTTATATAGCAGCCAGGTCCTCTGAGTTGGATTTTTTTTGTCCTGCTGGGATTCTGTTCTTTCATTTCTTTTAAGTCTATAGGATTCAACGGAGTATATAAATTGGAACCATAAATAAAAAAGCCGGCAGGCCTGCTTTGAAAGGTAATAAAATCTGAAAGCTCAACCACTGCATAAACAAAGGCACCAGCACCAGCCTTGGCACTGAAAGTAGGTCTTGTTTGGAAGATGGAAAAATACCCAGATACCTACCTTTCAAAAAGAAATCCAGTTCTTCTTGAGGAACCCTGTGGTCGGCCTGTTCAATCTTGATGGTCATGTTGAAGGAGAAAAGAAGCTTGTGTTTCTCAAACAGGCCTGGGAATGAAAGCATCACGGCCTCGGTTAGGAGGGAGAATTCTTCCCAAGACTATGCTGGGTAAAAACATGACCAAATGGGCAAATTTCCCCCTCTTGTTCCAAAACCAGAAATGGCCAACTCATAAAATATTTCTCTGGTCTTTTTAGAGTTGCCAACAGACAGGGAGGGGGGAGCAATGGGCAGCCTGCATTCCCCATAAATGTTTTCAAAGATAGTTTCCAGGTGACCGAAGTTTCTGCTGTGCAAAATTCTAACTGGAGAGTGTGATTGATGACTCTGGGCTATGGAGGTGTCCCATTGGAGAATATGAATTACGATACACCCAGAGGGGGTGGGGGAAAAAACAGGGTCGAGGGTGACAATGAATGATGTGTCTCAGAGTCAGCTACACCCAGGCTGTGCCGGGCATGTTAACTCCTAATAAATCTTCTTTGAGCTTTGAAAATCTGGCTAGAGACTCATGATTTATATGGGGGAAACTACTGGAACCCTGACAGAAACATCCTTTTGAGGAGACAACTTCATGATTGTTCTCTCATTATAGTTCTCACTTAAGAGTGTTCAGTTTGACCAAGAATGAACACCTAAAATCTTCAAGGACTATCTTCTGTCTTCCTAAGCTCCCTCCAATCAGCTTTCATGAAGCCATCAGGTGAACTTCCCCTATTGAACTAAAGCTCTAAAATTTCCTCTCAAGCCAAAAATTAAGTTGACTGTGGTGGCTTCAAGCCTTCCATCTAAGGTCAAATGCAACAGCTTTGACAAAGCATCTCACCTACGTGGCACGTTACCCTCTTTCAAACCTTGCTCATGGCCTCAGCCACCGACGGAGTGCTCCGACTCACCTGTGCAGCCATAGTTGTAAATATTAAAGGTCAAAGTATCCATGATGTTGCGCAACCTTTTGGCAAGGATGGTGTCTGGCATAGATTTCCGGAGCGAGAGACCAAAGACATCCAAGAAGGCAGACAAGGAGTACTGGTACATGATATTGACCAGGGCCATTTCGGACAGCACGAAAAACAAAATGGCTCCTCTCTTGGCCGCAGGGCGGTAGCCATCTCGCAGTTTGTCGATGTCAACTGCCGTTTTCTCAGCCAGCTTGAGTTTTTCAGAGACCTAGGTTGTCCAAGGAAAGGACCCCCTTTTAGAGGCAGGAGCTGCAGGATTGGATACTTAATGTGCCAAGGAAAGTGGACACTTGGACCCTCCCAAAATAAACTGTCTTTTTAAACTTTTAATTTAGTTGTTTTGGGCCTAATAAATCAATACTTTGAGGGATGTGCCTGCTTGGAGGTGTTTGATGGAACCCTGACACATACTATGGTTTATGCTCAGTCCCAATAATTAATATTCAAAGATCACAGATCCTTTCTGTAACCCCAAAGCTGAAGGAGAAAATATGCCCGAGTTTTTTTTTTTAAAAACAAACACTTTAAACATGGAAAAACATCCCAGGGGTCGATTAAAGCAGTGAGTGAACGATTACGGAAACTCAAGGCCTGCCTTCCAAAATCCAGCCCAGCCTTCTGAAATTCGTTAGCAAAGAAACGAGACGGGCCTCCTGGATTAGAAGAGAGTGTTTGGGGAAGTCAGATTATCACATCATCTAGCCAAAGAAGCTCTCTTCTGATCGATATTCCAGACCTGAATCTAAGACCCATAGATTCCGCTTTCTGAGTGAGGCAGGAGGAAAGCCCGTTGGTTCGGGAAAAGGAGCTGCTTCTTGATGGATGGATGG